TTGAAAAATTAACATAAGCATTTAATCAATCAATGACTGATCTTTGGCAACCTTTTGTAGATAAATTTCAAAATTATGAATTAACAAAATTGCCACCTAAATTAGAATACATTGAGAATTTTCCTTTGGACGAATTAGCATATGAAATGAAAAATTTACAACGAATTAAAAATGAAAAATCAAAAACATGGTCTCTCTGGAATTAGTTCTTATTGGTCTCGGAATTTTAATTACTCTATTAATAATATATGTTTTGGCTCTAAAATATTGTAAGTCTGGAGGACTGCGGCGACGGTTTCAATCCTTCCTACTGTAACAAAACTGAGATCCGCCCGTATTCAGATTTTTGTTAGTAGGTTAATGTGTTATTGCCTACGGCGCTTTGGATCATGAAATTGGTATAGAAATTAATAGCCCATGAATTAGGACTCGTGGCCGTTATATAATGGTCATTCATATTCAAAAAGGTACAATCTAATGGCTAATTTTTTTAAGTACCAACATTAAAAGATTAACAGATTATCATTCCTGTCGATATGACGTATACAGTCGAGAGTATAAATATGAGAAGACTACTCTCTGTCTTCAGTACTTAACAGGAAACGTTATTACTCATAAAGTCTTATCTTTGGCTACCTTTAAGACTAGTAGGCATTCGAAATTATTCTCGACTAGAAATACACTTTAAATTATTCTCTTGATGCTATTCTCTTGATGTTATTCTATTGAATGTCAACTTTAAGAACACAACGTGAAGTCTGATATTTATATAAAGATATTTGAAAACTGTTATTCAACTTATTTACGGACGGGGACCACCAGCATTGGATCGCAAAAAGGGGATATCGACAACACTTTGTCATACTACGAAGTAGAGAAACTCATAAATGGGACAAGAGGGAGTCAGCTGATTTAGAGATGACTCCAAGAAATATTGCTACCGTTACTCCACAACCAGCTGTTGCCACAGCACCTCTTTTACATAATGACCAGCAAGAGGAACAACAACCACCTTTGTTGTATCCTCAGATACCAGAGCCAACAAGTTATCTGGGTAGTGGACGAGGAAGAATGATGGCTGAGGTGCTACGATTGGCACGAAATCGACGTTCTCTACAAGATAGAGAACAAGATACCACTAATTAAAATTAATTTGAATCTGATATACATTCTTTTACAACTACATTCTTTTACAACTATTTGTAGGAGACTTCACAGATATATCGAACAGTTTAAACGTCAATGGTGAATTGGTGGACATATAATTTTTATGCCAATGGTAGATTAGTATATTGGTGGACATATAATTTTTATGCCAATGGTAGATTGGTAATTGGTGGACATATAATTTTTATGCCAATGGTAGATTGGTAATTGGTGGACATATAATTTTTATGCCAATGGTAGATTGATAATTGGTGGACATATAATTTTTATGCCAATGGTAGATTAGTATATTGGTGGACATATAATTTTTATGCCAATGGTAGATTGATAATTGGTGGACATATAATTTTTATGCCAATGGTAGATTAGAAAATTGGTGGATATCTAATATGTGTAGTGACAATTTTTTCATAGAAGAACTTATGTTTATGTTTTATGTTTTTAATTTTTTGATTATATTGATTTTGTGTTGGAGGATTGATAGGTGTGAAGACCGTTTAGATTTTGTGGATTAATAATAGAAAATTATTAATACTTTATAGATTTCAATTTGGCACTATTTTTATGACCAAATGGCATTGGGAGGAATGTAACAAAATACACTTCTACAGGATCAGTCCATGGTCCGCCATGGGCTATTAACCTGGTATTTTGTTATTGTCCTTTATTGTTTTAGTATGGTCATAAAAATGATCGAAATATATAATACATCATAATTATATTGATGGACATTGAAAAGATAATAGGTTTAATTTTTAAGTATCTCCTTAAATTATTTCGGGGGATGTCACACCTATCAATATGAGGTATGCAGCAAATGATATAAATATACCTTAACAAATTAGAAGGATTAGTATTCACTTGGAAACTGTGGAACTCAGCCAGAACTAGACATTCGATACTCTCCTAGTTCTTAAAAGATCTTGATATAATTCATTTGCTACTACCTCTACCTCGACTGTTTTGATGCTGATACCTATACTGTAAAAATACACAACGTGAAGAACTTTATTAATATATTTAAAAACCACTAGACGTTTTGATTTAACAACACGGAGAAAAAGGCCTGTACGTAACAAGAGCTTTGTTACAGTATTTCTTTTAAATGACAGTAGTCATAAAAGATTGGATAATGTGTCAATCTAGTTGACCAGACTAGTCATTATTTAGACAACGGATGAGGATTAAGGATTATCAATTTATTGTAACAAAGTCTACAGTAAAGTGCATTTAGCAGTGTATTTTATGTATTCTCTTTATTTTATTATATTCAATGTATGTAATTATTTTATGTACCTTATCGAGGCCTTGGCTTTAACCTACAACCTTCTCACCCTGACATCGGTCAGTTTCGGGGTTATCCAGCTATGATATCACATGTATACCTGACTCATAGTCGGCCAATGGACATTAGTAATTTCGATAACTCATTTGTTTCCGAATCTTCTGGGATTAACCCTTGACCAAATTACTGATTACAAAATTATATAAGTACAAGAAACGACACTTTTAGAGGATCGGGAATTTTGGTTTGGTAACAGAACTACACTTCAAGAACGTTTGAAGGGAGCAAGAAGTTCTGTAGGCTTGGGGTTAGAGTTAAGGCATTTCGAAAGGCAGAAATAAAACTTCATAGAAATCAGCAATTAGTTCCTAGCTTTGCTACAACTAAATTTTGGGGGCTTGTCCGGGATATCTATTAGTTGTCTCTGATTTCTACTGAGGATTTCCAGTCAACGAAAAGGGTAAGTTTTTCTTAATTGATTTAGTGCCGTATTCGATCTGAGACCATTACGTAGTAATTTTTCCGGTAGAAATTGCCAGCGTCGTTAATTCATTTTGTATTATTTTACTGAGTTTGGCAATCATGGATAAGCAGGAAATTCAGGATCAAATAAACGACTTAAGAGCACCTTGGGCTGCTCAAACAACAGTTTCACGATGAGATGCAAAAGCCTTACGAGGACTCCGTAAGAACAATGCAGGCGGCGAACACCTTCGCGCCTCAGGCACTGGCTTCAAATTTTAAAGACCTCAAATTAGAGTTAAGGGATTGCAGGGTCAGGTTAAGGAGATTAGGGAATGTCGTCATGATGTTACTTCCGAAGTAAATGTTGACAAAAATCAACATCATTTAGCAAGTTGCTTGAATAATCCTAATGTAAAAGACGCCGATTTCAATAAAGACATGTATGGAGATGCCACGTGTAACACAATCGAGATCCACTCAATCAGAAACGAAAAATCAAGGATGTTGAAGAGGACATGTAAAAAATAGTTGATTACATCCAGGGCGCATCAAAACTAATGTATATTTCAGAGGTGTAACCAAGAAGGGATGCTGATGTTACTGAGATGTAGAGATGTATCGGACTATTGCACGAAAAAACAATATTTCATTAATTACCGTCCATTCTACTTTCAATAAAAAAAAG